ACACCACATTTTGAACGCTTCTAACCTTTTATTTTCCGCAGCGCCCACCGTCCATATTTCGCACCTGAATAATGACACGCTGCAAACATACATCTTTACGAATCTTTTTAGAATTCGTGACTTCTTTTCATTGAAGGCGACTCGATACTGCGCTATCCTCTGCTTTATATTTGCTACTACTCCTTCCTGACTTATCTGGCTTCATAAATACCGAAAACCATCCACGTTTTCTAATTTTTTGTCTCCTATCTTTATATTCGCTCTTTCCCTACTTTTCTTCTTTTGCATACCAAGTATTCTTGTTTTACTTTTATTTATTTTCATACAATACTATTTTGTCAATACCGCCTCCATTTTATTTAAAACTATGTCTAACTCTTCCTTGCTAGATACTAAAATACTGCTATATCATCTACAAATCTAAGCCTACTAATCTTTTGCCCCTGTATATCTATCCCTACAGTTGTACTGTCTTTAATGATGTTGATCGCGTCTTCGACGTACAAATTAAAAAGTAGCGGTATCAGTATGCATCCCTGTTTGACTCCCTTCCTAGTATTTACTTCTCTACGTTGCAGCTCCAGCTCTATAGCTGCCTGTTACTCTTTATACAAACTAAGTATCACTCTTCTATCTCTGTAACTCATCCCTACATTTTTAAATATAATTAACATCTCGTCCCATTTAACATTCTCAAAAGCTATATACACCTAAAAAGATTAATTTTTCGAGCCTAACTGATTCCTCAATAATAAACGTATTCGTAATATATGAATGTAATTGTTTCTGCTTTTTTTTCTATGTTTTCTACTTAAGTACAATTTTACGATTTTATTAACCCATGTCTCGAACTAATTTCCTTCCATGTACTATTTCTGAATGAGAAAATCTTCGGAAATTTCGCGACGATTCTCCGTATATTTTACACCTGATTTACGTGCTGCTGTCCACAGAATCATTAAAATGAGTCCACTAAAAATAGAGGACATGGATTGACGAAAAGTCTGGGCGAATCCTTTCAGGCCGAAAAGGTTAGACAAAAATAAATAAAAGTGTTGTTGTCGACAGCACCTTTAACTTTAAGCCTATAGCTTATATACCATTACTGCGATATATTTATTTTAGGGAGAACGCAAACGTGTGTGTCTAATACACTAACTTATTCTGTGGTCAGATGAATCGGCTGCCACGTATTACCTTCTCAATCAGGCACTAGTATGTTAATTTTTCTCTGTTTTACAATTTTACATATTTGCGATAATTACTTCACTATGTTATATATACAGGAAGGTAGCTAATATTATTAACGCAATCGAAAACAATAGCAAAAAGGTTTAATTTAAATCAGAAACTAATGCTTTACAAATCAATCAAACTTCAACCATATTTATTTACGATTATATGTAGTAATAATTGGCAAGTGCTAATACATAAAGCAAGACATTTAGCATTTTAAATAAATTCTCTCGGAATTGTCTACGGCGTGCTAATGAGATCCAATGAGAGAAAAATGGCGTTCCGCGTTTGATGGCGGTAGATAACCATCAAATAGAGGTAGCTACAGACTTTCTGCTTGATGAGAGGACAAGGAAATAATGAATGTCACCAACAGAACACTTGCCACTAATTACATTCTCACAAATATGAAGCACTTGATTAAAAATTTACCAATATAAATAATTAAGAATTAAGTCTGAATCAGTAATTAATCAAAATTACCAGATGTTGATCGCGATTTATATGTGTGATAGCATTTCAGATTATAGACAGATTATGCAAATAAATAATTAATCAGTGAAGCGCCAGGCGCATCCACCATTTTTTGCAATTACTTATTTTTATATAAAAATTATAATTTTATCAATACCTCTCATAAAAGTATTATAAATTATTAAATAAATATTTAGTAGATACATAAAATTACCAATTTTGCAACTATTTACAGAAATATTTGTTTATTATCGATCTATCTATCATAGGTACACTGACACAATCTTAGCGAAAATAAATTAGAAACAGAATTATACGCCTTTCTAATCTTTGACATACTTTCAATATCACGCTATGCTTCATACACGAGTACTATAAAAGACATCTACTACAAAAAAAAAAATTACGCATTTATTTGTCAAGCTTTCGTAATTTCGCATTAAAAACAAATTTATCAATTTCCTTCTCGAAGTAGTTGACATGTAGGCAATATAATATGAAGGATGTGAGTTAGAGGGATCAAGGAGTGATACGACTGTCACTGCCACGAAAAACATGAATTACTGATGTTTAGCGTCTTGGAAATGACGAAAACAGTGATTTTCCTGTTGCGATCTGGGCCTCTAGACAAACAAAATGTGCACTAACAATTACAATAATCGCATTGGCGAATTTGCCATAAGGCCCAGTATTAAGGGCGGCAAATCATGCCAAAAAAAATCACTAATGATAACAAATTCATGAATTATGTATCTAGTCTCTAATGATGGGTGCTGAGAAAGGGGCGGCACATGGCCTGGGGGCTAGAGCGGCTAGGACTGCAAATCCGCCACTGAATAATCGTAGGTAAAAAATACTACAAATGGCGCAGTAAACGCCATCTGTAGCACGATGCTACATTTTAGAATTACGTATGCTCCAACAAGGTCCACTTGTGTGGATATCTACTTGACTATCTTTACAGACCACTTCGAATTATTTTATTCGATTAAGCTAACGTGCCTATCACGTTGAGGTTGGCTACGCCGGTGTTCGTTTTCAGCAAGTAGATATCCACACAAGTGGACCTTGTTGGAGCATACGTAATCCTAAAATGTAGCATCGTACTACAGATGGCGTTTACCGCGCCATTTGTGGTATTTTCTAAAACGCGCTGTTAAGACAGCAGGTAAAAGTTGGTCTGTGTTCTGTCGGAGCTGCCTGCGACGCGCTGATGAGATCCAAAAAGATCGAAATCGCGATCCGCGTCTGGCAGTTTCGACAGAATACAGACCACTTCGAATTATTTTATTCGATTATGGTAACGTGCCTATCACGTTGAGGTTAGCTACGCCGGGATTCGTTTCAGCAAGTAGATATCCACACAAGTGGACCTTGTTGGAGCATACGTAATCCTAAAATGTAGCATCGTACTACAGATGGCGTTTACCGCGCCATTTGTGGTATTTTCTAAAACGCACTGTTAAGACAGCAGGTAAAAGTTGGTCTGTGTTCTGTCGGAGCTGCCTGCGACGCGCAAAAAGATCGAAATCGCGATCCGCGTCTGGCAGACCACTTCGAATTATTTTAATCGTAGGTAAATTTAATCGGATCCACCTCTAAGGGTTGAGAGGAAGAGAGGGGCATTGCTTGGGGAAACGAAATATGACAAGTGGGGAAAGGGGTCTAAGAAAATGTGACACAGTTCATCAATTTTATTTCAGTGTTTTTCTTCTTGCCAGTTCTTAAAAATGCTATTATTATTCACAAGAAATCATTTATAGAGAGAGATGGACTAGTTTTTGTAACGTAATATTTGTTAGGGGAGTCGCTGCAAGTGTGACTTACGCTGACGAAGGGGGTGGAATCAGGGCCAGACTGGCCCTGGGTGCAGGGGTGCAGATTCATCCAGGGCCAAATGCTTGACGGGCCCAATGACTCAAAAAATGTTCAAAAAATAAAAAAATTTTAAAACAAGAGCAAAGACCGAGGCAAAGAGAAAGGCAAACTTCCTCCTAATTTCTTAAATTTATTTAAAAACGAGTGCTGTTAAAATTTGTGCACTTTCCATTCTAAACCAATCCATTTGGTTACATCGCACACCGGGCCAAATCTTGAGTCCGACTCTGGGTGGAATGGGTCCAAAATGGTGAAATTCTGAGTGACGCATTTTATGAATGAACTCTAGCAACAGTAAATTAGTCATAAAACAGACAATTCGGGTCAAAATCAGCAAGTTTTTGGGGGCGGCAGTAATGTCATTAAGTATGACTTGAGTATGCACTACTTATCACTCTAGAATGCCCTTCCAGTAAACCCACTTATGTGCGGCTCTTTGAGTTCTTATTAATTTTTTTCATTCCAGATGATATGCCCTCAAAAATGGTAGAGGTATTTAAAAATCTCATGGGCCGCAAAATGCGCAATGAGCGAGAACCTTGTTACATTCACAATTTTGATTTCAAAAACATGAAGCCAACTGTTAATCATATACCCTAAAAGACAACCATACGGGAGATAACTCCAGATAAATAAGAACTGTTTTTAAAAGGTAAAAATGTACAAATTAATAATCGTTCAAGATTTTGGCCCATGAAATTCTCAATTACCTCTAATTGTATATAAGAGCCACCTGAATATTTTTTGTTATTTATTGTCTATCTTGAATAGTTGTTAGAGAATAAAGGGGACGCCAAGAGTGGAAAACGTTCTACCCCCGGCCCTGATTCAAGCGTCTGTATGTCTGTAGTTTCAATTGATCAAATGGAATGGAGGACTCTCGTTTGCTCTCTTTTAACATAAAAACTAACTTTAATAATGATATCGGTGTAGCACTTTATGGTCTCAAGAAAAATGTGACGTTAAAACTAGAAAACATCTCGTTGAAATAGGCTAAGTGGAAAAACGGTACTTGAAGCCTTGACATGGAAAACCGCAACGGGAAAATAACTTGGCAACACTATTCATCACAAGTTTCTTTCTACAATCGTGTAACAATTTATTTCCAACAAAAAAAAACATGCATACTGATTAAAAATCTAAAGAAACCATTCTTATGATGAAAAGAAGTTACTTTTAAATTAATATCATCTGTAGACTGTAGGTACTTGTTCAAAAAAATATGACCGAGTAGCAGAACTTTCACATATACGTTTCTTTTATAATTTTTTCAATTGCAATGATGTCTTTCTACAATCACGCATCTTACAAACTTTGGTGGTTTCTATTTTAATGCAAAAAACGCTAATAAGCTCAGAATATACTTAAATAATTTTTTTCTTAATAAAAATGGTAGCTAATATGACACTTACCGCCGAGTCAGTGCTATATCTTTTTGTTTTCGAACTGGGACATTCCGGTGGATAGTACGCTGGGGCCGCATTGTACACTACAAAAGGGAATGGTTCAAGACCTGAAAAGAATAAAAAATTACCTTTAATATAATAAACATGACATTATTTATTATTTCTATATGAGTATTTCATTCCCGCCAGTTGAAATGCAGCAATTTCTTCGACCTGCACTTTAGTACAAAGCCGGAGGGTAGGGTGGAAGATTCTCTACAGCCTCCTTTTCAGGAACTGTAGAAAACAGTGGATGGTGATTGGGGAGAAACGGATGAAATGTATAAAGTGAAGAGAGAAGAAGGATAAAAAAGTGAATGATTTTATCGCAGTTTACCTAAATTCCTAAATGGTTAAAAGAAAATCATGTTTTGTGAGCTGTTTTGTCGTAATTCATAGAATTTCGTAGTGCCTTGCTAAAGGTACGACAAGTAGTAATTTGACAGGTGCTGATATCAATTTGGAACTTCACAATTCCATGGACCATGACACTGAACCCGGAAAACAATATAGATCCAATATTTTAGATTATTCATTTCCAAGGAATTTAGACTTTTTTGGACTCTCTTCAGTTATAGAATTAGAAGTTTCATTCATCATTTTATATAATATTTGATAGGTGATACTAGCAAAACTTTTAACGGCAAAAATGTATTTTGCATTTTACAAGTAGAAAATAGATTTGGAAAAGTATTTTAAATAAAATACAAAATACTTTTCACAAAAACGTATTTAAATGCAAGATAAAAATAGGTATTTTTTATTTTGTATTTGCACTTTAAATGCAAGTATTTCAAGCAAATCACATCTTTACATATAACTATACAACTGTAAACTATGATGGCTAAGGTTTTTAAGAAGTAGAAACACAGACATCAATTACTGTAGAACTCAATGCCAACGGTCATGAGATTCTCAACTACCTCTAGTTTTAAAATCTCGTTTTCACACCGCATCGTTCAGTCGTTGTAGGGGAGTACAAGCCCCTACCGAGCAGCATGGCCTAGAAGTTTAGACCATTGCTTAGCATTCGGGAGGACGCCGCGCCGGTTCGATTCCGGGTCCGTCTGCCTTGGTCCAAGTTTTTCTGTGGTTTCCTTGGATCACTTAGGCAAATACTGAGGTAGTAATATTCCACAGATAATCTTTCATTCTCCTCTGTCTTCATTTCGTCCGTCTCATCTTTCTCACCCGAACCACCACCCACCCATTCTCACGATTCCTAAAAGCAGGCTAAAAAGAACTTTCCGCCCTATCTTCCGGCGTAGTCCGGAGGGACTGCTCGCCCAGCAGCATTACTGGCTGGTGGGAATGAAACACCCAAGTTTTTTTTTCTAGTATGTTATAACTATCTATTTTTGTACCCGAGTTCAAGTTACACTTAATCAGTTCTTCTATTTATCATTTATTGTCTTCGTTAAGTATTTTCTAAACTTCAACATGAGACAAAACTAAAGACGTGTAGGTAGATACAGGTGGATAAAGTAAAAAGAAATTAAATAAAAGAAGGTTGTCTCTGCGGAAAGCGTCTTGGTACCTAATCTTGTACATTTGTGTCGGTATTTTAAATACGCACACACTTGATGATGTTGTAAATTCGTACAGTTCGCACCTTGTTACAACTCCCCATTTCCGCATTGTCAGTTGCGCCCAAAATAACAAAACGACGGACCATCATCCCAGTCAGGTCGAGCTCATCATTCTTTCCTTCGTTTCTTTTTCTGTTTCCGTCTGGTATATATCTGACTCGTGCCAAACTACAAAATGGCAGGAAGGCAATTCAGTTGACATCTCGTTACGAAACACATACTCACATAGTAGCGTACGCATACATATGTACATGTAGTATCGAAAACGGGCGGTCACTTGATTTTTACCTTCCAAACAGACGAACTACTAATCATGTTGATGCTTTAGAAAGGATTTTTGTTTTCAAACGCAGAGGCCACATATTTCAAACGAAACGACCGTCCAAAATTTGATGATGTTAATTTAGGATTGTAACGACATCAAGGTTTTTGCGGTGCTAATTTAAACTGAAGATTACCAGGTGGTCAATGATATGACACTGCATTCCGATTCAAGTCTACATTGTTTTTATCGTTACGATTTGATAAGGCCACTCTAGCTCGTCGTCGCCTCAATAAACGTCGTGTTTCTTGGTATCATCATTTTATCTTATAAAATTGAGAAACAGAAAGTTGGACGACCGAATTCAAGAGCTTTATGCCACTTTTAATAACCTTGCAGTGTGTAGCTCCCTTTTCTCTGTCTTCATCTCAATCACACTTCAAAATATAATCACGTAAACGCTGTAATATGAGTCCTGGCTTAAGAAACAGAATTTTTAGGGTACACGTTATTTCTGAATATTTTTCGTTTCCTTGACATGTAGGTAGTTGCCTCAGAATTTGAGTGCGGATTTTACAATATATTTTCTCATTATTCGAATTTGTATTAACTTTTTTTCAGAAACATCACTCGCAGTGTTAATCAAAAACTCCAATTTTTAATCCATCACAAATTGCAAGAAATGTCGTCATGGCGGAAGGAGTAGTAGGGATATAAAGCAGAGGATAGCGCAGGGTCGAGTCGCCTTCAATAAAAATAAGTCACTTCTATGCTAGCAAACGGTTAATTTAGAAATTCGAAAAAGGTTGTTAAAGAGTGATACTTAGTTTATACAAACAGCAACAGGCAGTTATAAAGCTGGAGCAGCAACGTAGAGAAGTAAATATTAGGAAGGGAGTCAGACAGGGATGCACACTGTCACCGATAGTTCTTAATCTATACATCGAAGACGCAATCAACATTATTAAAAACAGTACAACTGTAGGGATAGATATACAGGGGCAAAAGATTAGTATGCTTAGATTTGCAGATGATATAGGAGTATTAGTATATAGCAAGGAAGAGTTAGAGATAGTTTTAAATAAAATGGAGGCGGTATTGACAAAATAGTATTGTATGAAAGTAAATAAAAGTAAAATAAGAATACTGGTATGCAAGGGAAGAAAAAGTAGGTAAAGAGCGAATATAAAGATAGGAGACGAACAATTAGAAGAAGTGGCTGGTTTTCGGTGTTTAGGAAGCCAGATAAGTTAGGAAGGAGTAGTAGGAATATAAAGCAGAGGATAGAACAGTATCGAGTCGCCTTCAATAAAAAGAAGTCACAAATTCTAAAAAGATTCTTAAACATGTATGTTTGCCGCGTGGCATTATACGGGTGCGAAACATGGACGGTGGGCGCGACGGAAAAGAAAAGGTTAGAAGCGTTCGAAATGTGGTGTTACAGGCTAATGATGAGGATAACGTGGATAGAGAAGGTTAGGAATGAAGAGATATTAGAAAGAATAGGAAAACAGAAGACTAAAAAATAGAAGGGATAGGTTGGTAGGACACATTCTTAGACATGAAGGTCTAGTCAGAGACATATTAGAAGCAGAAACGGAAGTTAGGAGGGGTAGAGGTAGAGCTAGATTAGATTACTATTCGCAAATAGTTAAGGATGTGGATTGTTTTAGTTTTAGGGAAATGCGAAGATTAGTTCAGGATAGGAAAGAGTGGAGGTGCGTGTTTAACCAGTCTTACGATCTTCTGATGACGATGATGATGATGAGGCTAGTGTCACAAGGTTATAGTAGGAAAAGACAACACGAACGAAGTTCTATAAGTATCTGATATCATAATCTGAGTTTGTAAAATTATTAAATCTGGACTTAACAACCGTAATCTGTTTTCCTTTATCATTTATAATTTTTATAACACCCTCAAACATCACTTCCTGATGCTTATTATTCTTAGTCCACACTGAACTAACTGACGTACCTACTTGTCCACGATGCCGACGTCTTCGATTACGTATGCCCATTATGTATCAGTACGATGACTTAGCATTTTGTTCTCAATAATTTTTTGTTTCGACAAGCCCTACGCCGTATATTAGAAGGCAAAGTTGCTACCATAAAGGATGCTCGTATCGATTTGACCCCAACGAGCGATAGCTCACACTCTGTTACTAAGTCAAAATACTTCACTTATTTTTCGTAGCATGCATAAAATGCTGAAGAAATTTAAATACATAAGTACGTATACGGAATTCATAATTCAACGCAATTAAAAAAGAAATATACCCGACAATTACCGAGTATATATATGTTAACGGAAATATGTTTAATCCGTCATTGTATACAATTCCTAGGAAATGTATATAATTCCTAAAATCGCCCGGAAGTGTGTGAAATAAATTATATTAGACACATTTCCTAGGAAATCTAAACATTTCCTAAACAGCAATCAGTAGTCACAGATAACTCTGATTCTCAGTTTATTCACATGTTTTATTCATTTCATTCACAGAAAGAATTAGTTTTATACATTTCCTAGTACAATATTGGAATTTCATACAATTCCTAGGAAATGTATAGATACGTTTTCGAGGATATGTATGTATTAAAAAATCTTTGAAGCAATATTTTAAAGATTTCCTAAATTGCCTCGGATTTATATACATTTCCTAGGAATTCTATACAATTCCTTGATTTCATACATTTCCGGTAATATATGTATACTCTAAGTACTTTTAGAACGCCTTTTCAAGATATTGCTACAGAATACTTTACTTACTAATTGATACATGATATTGTGCCCATTTTATGGAAATCAATTAGAAATAGGCGAGCTAGATTGGCAGGACACCTTCTTAGGCATGGAGGGCTAGTTAGAAAGATATTAGAAGCCAAAACAGATTCACAAATAGTGTTTTAAAGATGTGGAATGTTCTAGTTTTAGAGAAATGCAAATATTAGCACAGGATAGGAAAGAGTGGAGGTGCCTGTCCAACAGTCTTAGGATTGACGACCCTATGATGATGATGATGATGAATCAAATTATTATTATTGCAAAAACCAGTTAAATTACATCAGTACCTATTTTAATACATATAAAAGCCAAACCTAACGTGCTGCTATCTTGACTTTAATTCAATTAAACACCTGGAGATATCTCATAATTGTAGTATGAAGGAGTGGCAGGGATGTGCGAAAAGTACAAATGTAGCAATTTTTCC